CAAATCTACAGGCGCAAGCTAAGCCAACTTTGCCAAAGGAGAATGGCTACACGAACAAGCAGAGCACATCATATACGGTCCCATCGTAAAACTAATTGTACTAAATGTAATAACCTTGTAGCATTAAATGTTAGCCTACTTCAAGTCATCCGGATTCAGATGCATAATGTATCCCAAATCAATACTTAGAAAATGTCCCTAAGAAGTGTAGGAACTCAAGCAACAACTTAGCGGTCCAAACTCACACAAAATACACTCACCTTCCTTAGAACTAATCAAGATTGAAAGAGTAATGTACTAAACAGTAACAATTTAACAATCATAATCAATGCACAGACTTTTTCTTTGAAGGGCAGAGAAAGTTATGGACCCATTTTAGATGTATGGTATTCCCAAACCAAATGGCCCATTTGTGTCAGGAGGTACTTGTGTGATAAAGGAATTAAAAGGAGCAATTGTCCTACAAGCAAGTATTTGGATCCTACCTATCTCATTGTTGATTGATTACTATTATTCTGCTCCCTTTGTTACTTTTTGTTTGCCGTAACAAAAATTTTGGTATTTTATACTATCTATTTCGATGAAATAAGATGATGTGTAACTAAATTAGTCGTACTATGAGTGATATAATGAAAGTAAGAGGAAAGTTATGCATTTAAGGCAAATACAGAAATAACAAATCAAAAAGAAAATTGGAGCAAACAAAAAGGACTGAGGGATTATAATAATAATAGTAAACTATCTCTTTTGCAAAAATATATAGAAGCAAGCTATCTCTTTTGCAAAAGATATTTGCAGTTGTAAAGCATAATAATATAAGATTAAAAAGGAGCCACAAATAAAAAAAGAAGAAGAAAAATAAATACCAAGTATTATTATTAGTAGAATATATAGTATTATGAAAGCTTTAATTTCTACCGCATATGTTGGTGTCTCAACAGTTTTGTTGACTGTGTAGGAGATAATAATCTTCCCTCTGAAGCCAAAGTTCAATATAGGAAAAAAAGTGTAGTTCACTAATTTGGTATACTTAAAGATAAGAAGGTGCAATGACAAAGAAACTCAAACCAAATGCTTTGTACCAAATTTTCAATCATTATTATTGCCTTCTTTCACCCATATATCATCTTCCATATAATTAACTTATAGGAACATACATACATATATACTAAGCCTTTTTACCAATAATCTAGCCATTGTAAGTCGAAGATATTATCTTTTCTTAAAACTTTTGTATAACAGATGAATAATACACCAAATAACTTTTTTCGTCACCTCATAAATTTTACAAATGATTGATTAGATTTATAGTTTAATGATTGGATTAAGCAAGGTGACTAACATGTATAGTAACATAGAAACATTGTTGTATGTATGTATGTATGTATGTATGTATGTATGTATGTATGTATGTATGTATGTATGTATGTATGTATGTATGTAATATACATTATTAGTTATCATACATAAAGTTCAATAATTTCTTCCATATTTATAGATTTGAGACTTTTTTTTTTGAAACCAAATTTGAGACAATTTTAGTTCAAGATCATTAAGGTCCCGTTCTTTAGAGCTGCTTTGCTCTGCTCTGCTCTGCTTTGCTATGCTGAAATCTGCTCTACTTCAATCTGCTCTGCTCTGCTTAAAAATAGTACTTAAAAATAGCTACTTCAACCTGCTTTTCTCTGCCCTGCTCTGGTCTGCTCTGTTGAAAACTGTTTTGCTCTGCCCAGAAGCTCAAAAGAACAGGGCCTAAGTAAATAATTATTTACTTAATTTAGTTTATCTGCTAGTACTTTTAGCTCATAGTTGTGCACCATGTCAAGGACAACAGGGCTAAAATAATATTTCAATTGTAATCTAACTAATTCCTAATTTTACAGAGACTAGGGGTAAATAAATAGTAAGTTCACTAGTACATTTAACTATGTAAGGAAAATAAGGTTAATAATTACTTGATCTTATTAATTGTAATTGGTTGCTAAATTCAAATAATGTCCTCATAAAATAACTCTAACTTTTCTCAACTTATTTGTATTTACCTTACTTTCACAAAACTTTTTTAATCTCAAAATGCCACCCATTACTAAACAATGTCCTATAAGTAATATACCTTGTCCAATAAGTTATATACCTAATATGTTCGTGTTATACATGAACTTTAATTTCTAACTTTCAAGGACGAGTGCTCAAATAATCTCTTGTATTCAATAAGGGTCTGTTCTCATAGACTGAAATGAGCTGAACTTATTAGAGCTTAACTGAACTGAACTTATTAGAGCTGAGCTGAACTAAAATAAATATTTTGTGAGAGAAGGAAATTAGGAGCTGAAGTAAACTGAAAATAATCTAATGAGAACATGCCCTAAATAAACACCTCCAATGTATATATATATATATATATATATATATATATATATATATATATATATATATATATATATATATATATATATATGTATATATATATATAAATGATACAACCACACAACACATATCTTACCCGGTCACAAACTCACACCAACATATTGACTTTGTTTGGTAAATGGTTTTTGGCTGGCATTTTTTTTTTCCCATGTCAAATAGCCAAAAAATAAATAAATTGGTAAATTGCTTTTTAGCTAGCTGAAAAGCAGACTTTTTCACCAAAAATAAAAAAAAAACTAGTCTTACTAATTTTTTGGTTTTGGTTTTTGGCTTTCATTAAACATATTTCTTCTTTATCCTTACTTAATACTCCTTTCGTCCCTAAATTACATTGCTCTTTGGAAATTTACACAGGAAATAAGGAGGAAAGAATAAGACATATAATAATAATTAGATAATGCAATGAGAAGTACAAAGATAGATTAGTTATTACTCATGACATGTCATCAATCCTTTGAAAAAAAGGACCAATCACATATGCTCCTAATTGAAAATTTTTAACCAATCATATTCATTGTAATTTGGCACAAGGATTATGAGTGAGATTAGGTAAGGATGAGTGAGAAAACATTAAATATAAAACAGAAAAAGAGAGTTGATTTACTAAAAAAAACTTACCAAAAATAGAAAGGAGGAATGTAATTTTGGAATACCAAAAATAGAAAGGAGGAATGTAATTTAGGGACGGAGGGAATAACTAGTAATTTCATCATCCAACAACTAAAAGCTGATTTTACCAAACATATTTACATATAACAGATGGTCAAACAACCACTACCAACAGTCAATACTAACAGTCAAACAAACAAGCCAAGTTAAACAGCCAATAGTCAATTGTCAAACAAAGTCATTATCGCACCTAGAAGACTAGAAAAACCTACATTACATACACCTCCTTTAATATTTAATTTCACAGTCTACACACCAAGTGTATAATAGAATATCCCATACATGCTCCCTCACAACTTTATAAAATTATGAGAATCATGCATGGATAGATGTTTCTTGATGTTGTTGATGATGTATGATGATTTTAGTGTAGAAAATTAAGGTTTGGTCCATCAATTTAAGGCTGATGCATGAATGATGATATAGTTGTTTTCATGAGTAAATCTTTGAACGGGAGTAGACCGTTGTTGGAAACCGGGAATTTGAGAGAGAGACCTATCATTGGCTGCAAATCATATCCTATATTTATTTTTTTTGCATTGTACTACGTATCATATCATAAAAAATAATTTTGCCATAAATAATAGTCTCACGTATTCTTCATGTGAAGTACGGAGTATTGATTAACTCTTCTAATTTTAAGAAATCATGATGAGAATTTGTTAATATCTGTTATATGATTTTACATGCTACTAAATTAAATTAATATTTGTTAAGAAAATGATATATTTGAAAATATTGCTAGTTTCACCCAAACCACTAAACAAGTGTCTTAATACTGAATTTTATTGACAATAGAGTTTTGTTTGGTCAAAAATCAAACCTAACTATACATGAAAAGCTATTGTCGAATAGGGCCATAATATAACAATACATTCCGTTATTGATTTCTTCTTGTGAGCGTTACAAGCCAATAAGTTATGCTTAACAATTCTTGTTATGCAAGTAATAGTGATATCAATTTTAAGTCTTTAATTCATTCAATTCTTATAAAATGTATATTTATAATTTGATATATACTTAAAGATTTAAAGCATATAATGTTGAATTAAATATGTATCCATAATTCCAGGTCAGTACGTAATCAGGCTCTAATAAGTATTTAATTAATGAGTAGACTCCATAGTCCATACTTTGCTTTACCATTTAACTAAAATAGCCTTTTGTGTGGAATAATGTTATCCACTCAATTTAACTGAATAAATTGCGGAAGGAGAAGAAGGCAAGGTCCCAATAAAACAGTAAAAACCAAAAAAGAATTGGAAAAAGAATAAAAAATTTGAGATATAAAACCTAGGCTCTGATACCATGTTAGATTTCGGAAAAACTCCTCAAATTAGAGTGTGTACCATTGATAAAATATATAGAGTTTACAAAGCTAGGCCTAATCACGTTAGGAATCCTAGATACGATAAACTTACAAAATATACATTTAATATATCTTAATCTGCGACAAATATTATCCTAAATATAATATCTATCACAAATCATTATGGCAAACAAAATTAAGGTTATTGGTGATTTATCTCATTAATAGCTATTAGAGAGTGGGACGTTTTGACCCTACTTACTCCTTATTATACACAACCAATCATGGGCTTCATTGTTTTAACCATAAACTTAAACACACTTTTAATTAAGTTGGTCATTTACCACATACATTATTATACATACGTGATCAAGTTTTTTTATACTCCGTATTAGTAATTAATTAGTACATTTTTTTTGTACACAAAATAAATATTTGATTTGTTAGAAATACTCCATATAATATTCCTTTTATATTCACCTGTAAATCAATCAAAGTAAAAGTTAGTATAATTATAATTTCTTATACTATATGATTATAAATCAAAATATAATGGATAGGTTGCTAGATTGATAGTTAATGGATAGTACTATCACACGTTTTGTAATAGTTGGATTATAATTGTTGATCCCTTTTGCCTATTAAAAATAAAGTAAAAATAATAGAGTGAGATACAGCAAGTAATATAAATGTGAGATATTCTTGTTGGGGTAGCCTTATATAAAGGGGGATATGATATAGAGATCAACTACATACTTATTCCCCTCTCCAAATCAAAATCACCAAAATCAAACAACTCAAAAGAAGAGAGAGAAGTTAAAGCTATAATTCTAGAGAGAGAAAGAAATAAATTTTCAAAAAAAAAAAAAATTAAAAATGGAAGAACATTTAAATCCACTAGCAGTGACTCATCTTTTACAATACACTTTGAGGAGTTTATGTTGCCAAGACAATTCTCAATGGGTTTATGCTGTTTTTTGGAGGATCCTTCCTAGAAATTATCCTCCTCCCAAGTAAGTCTCTCTCTCTCCTAAAAGGAAAAAAAAAAGTTGCAAATTTAACAAGTTCACTATTGTTTTCCTCATCTTTGGTCACCCTTAGCATCGATCTCTATCTTGTTTTCGGATATACCTACACCTCAAACTAGGTGTACCTAAGGATTTTTATATTTTCTTTGATCATTTTATAATTTTATGGTACATCTACCTACCAGACTATTTTAGATGTACACGAGAACAACTACAAATTCATAAGCTTAATCGATCTCTCATATACTATTTCTTTTTTCCTTTTATAGATGGGACACCCATGGAGGAGTTTATGATAGGTCTCGAGGCAACAGAAGAAACTGGTAATTAAATTTTATTCATCTCTTATAAATCATTGCACTATTACAATTATTATCATATGGTCGGTCCACAAAATAATATTTCATATAAATATATATACAATAACAGATGATGTATGTGATAATTGATTTGTCAATTTTATGATCAGGATATTAGTATGGGAAGATGGATTTTGCAATTTTTCGGCGTCTACCACCGCTGAGATGAACTCTGGCAATGGCGGTGGCGGCGGCGATTATCCGAGCTCATCAGCATCGTCAACTGCCAATTATGGTGATCAACAATTTCAGCAGTTTCAAGCTGGATTACAACCTGAACTTTTCTTCAAAATGTCCCATGAAATTTATAATTACGGTGAAGGGTATGGTATTATTAAATAACATTCTTTAATTAATATTATAGTTAACCCTAGATTATACAGTTATTTTATGTTATTATATGGTTTTAATATGTGACAGTTTGATTGGGAAAGTAGCAGCAGATCATAGTCATAAATGGATATACAAAGAACCAAATGAAAACCAAGAAATTAACTTCTTGTCTGCATGGCATAATTCGGCTGATGCGGTAAGTTTAAGATTATTTTATAATTAATTTATTGTTAATTAGTTCGTTTAATTTGCATTTTCGAATATATATATATATATATATATATATATATATATATATATATATATTAAATTCAAGTTTCTCTCTGAGATAATTGCTCTGAATAAATCTCCTCTCACAATTTAATCATTTTCTTTTATTTTTTAAATGATAAAAGTAAAATAATAAAGTAGCACAGATTTTAATACATAAAGTTGTGAGAAAAGATAAATTAGAAGGTTTATCTCTGAGATCAAATATACATATATATATAGTTTTATGAATATAAGATTCATTATTGGTATATATCTCATTTTACAGCAACCAAGGACTTGGGAAGCTCAATTCCAGTCGGGTATCATGGTATTATCATCTCTTCGCTATTTTCTTTTTGTTTTTCTATGGGAAGGTAGTATCAACTAGATAAATTGACAAAATTATACTCTCTGCGTCCAAAATTAATATCACATTGATAGTTTTGTATTAATATTCTAATACTCGGGAGTATAGAAATCTAGACGAAATGATTATTCTTTTTTTATTGTTTTATACGGAATAGGTGTTATTGAAATCATACTATATTTGTTAAATTTTGGTAATTGTCACATCTTATGTTCAAATCAAATTAGGTCAATTAGCTCTTGGAAGGAGGAAGTATGTTTTGTTGATTTTCAAAATCTAACAAAATTAGTTTTTTTGTAGTATCGTTACGTTTTCATTATTAGTACTATATGTATACATATATTATTTTATGACCCAAATTCAAGAAAATTTGGAATTGATGAGTCAAAGTTTTGGTAATTTTATAGTATGATGATGATTATGACATTTATTTTTAGATGAAATTTGTACTTGTATATAATTTTAGTAAACAAAATTGGTTGATTTCATTACATCATAAACATATTTGAATTTTATGTAGACTATAGCCTTGATAGCGGTACGAGAAGGCGTGGTACAACTTGGATCATTAAACAAGGTTGTGGAGGACTTAAGCTACGTCGTTTTGCTTCGGAAGAAGTTCACCTACATTGAGAGCATCCCGGGGGTGCTCTTACCCCACCCCTCCTCCGCCGCGTTCCCACCATCTATAAGGCCCGTTGATGGGTACGGGATCCCGCCCGAAATGTGGGCCTACCAAGGCGGCGGAGGAGGGCCCATGGGAATGGGCCCTACCACCCAACTCATGGAACAATACGAGTACTACAACCAAGCCCAAGCCCCACAACAACACCAGTCACCCATGGTGAGGATGATCACCCCATCGATGAGCAGCCTCGAGGCCCTCCTATCGAAGCTCCCCTCGGTGGGGCCTGATCCGGCCCACCAAGGTCCCACGGGACATTGTGGGCCGGAGGCCCATCAGTTCTTGGGCTCACCATCAGCCCAAAAGATGGCAAAAGAAGAGTTGGATGAAGAAGAACATCAACAAGAAATTAGGAATATTAATAATTATGATAATGAAAGAGAGGTTGTTGGGGAATGTAGTAGCACCTCAATGTCATCATATCAGCAGCATTTTTCATACCATCACCAAGATCTTAATTTAGCTGCTAGCAGGCCTAGTACTGGATTTTAGTACAAATATAATTTTTAATTATATATATAGTTTTAAATATTAATTAATCATTTGAATGATTGTCTTTATCTAAGGGACACAAAATATTGTATTCAAAATTTAATTAGATTTAATTTTTAGTGCTTAGCTTGTTGCTAGTAGCTCAGGGTTCAAGATTTAGTCTACTATTGTAATTTTTGGTTTGTATCTTTATATATATATGTAACTTTTTTTATATGTAATGCAACCTCTAATAGGTTACAATTGTATTATTTTAGTATTTTTCAGATGGACTATATATGTAAATATGTAATCTTCTTCGTAATAAATACACATATATATAGTTTCAATTTGGATGTCATTCATGCTATTTTATCCCTAATATGTGTGTATGAGGTTACTCATTAGCTAAAATAGTGGCGAGGAGGTATATACCAAATGATTGTTTTTTTTTGGGGGGATAAGCATGATGTTTTACTATTAGGTTTGTCTTCTCTCAAAACCGTCGCCTAATTGATTGGGAACGGAGGAAGTTAGAGAACTTACTATTGGAATAAGTCGGTTTCCTAGCTTGTGATCGACATATCTCTATGATGTATCAGTAGTACCACAGTCCACAGAGGCTACATAATCTTCAACCGTATTTGCTTCTCTCAAACGATTGTCTTCGAAGCTAGAGGTAAGGAAATTAATCGATCAAGTTACACATATGCATGTAAAACAGCACGCTATGTACCCTGCCGAAAACTAATGGTAACTTACTGGTATTCCACTATTCCCTAATTAACTATACAATTTAGGAAGATGACTCTAAAAGAATGGCTAATTATTATATGAGTAATCTAGTTAGAAGATGTTTCGTTGCATGGAAGAATATTACAGTCATAACCCGTCTAAATGATTAAAGAAATTGTAAGAAGAGTAGTTGCATGTTTTAAAAAATGCAAATTAAATTGGTTAAACTTTTAACATTTTTTTTAATAGATTAAATTTTTAATATTAAGAATATTGTAATGGGTCTATAAATTAGCTATCACCTCCAAATTGATCACTTGTGACTTGATAGAAACGAACATAGGAAATTCCTAATTTATAGGTTTAATTTTTAATATTAAGAATATTGTAATGGGTCTATAAGTTAGGAATTTCCTCTGTTCGTTTCTGAATAATGAAAGTACTTTGACAAGTACAAGTCCTAATGCACAAGTTTGACTTGAATATATGCAATTTTTGTAGGTAAGAGAAATGTATATATTTATGCATTAATAAAAATTATTAAAAATAATATTCGAAAAAATAGGTTGAGACTTTTTTTTTTTGGCAAGTATTTATTGAAACTAATTCAATATTATATTAAAAAAATAATAACATTTAATTTTACATATCAGTAAAATAAGTGAAATTAATATATAGATATGTCAAAGTCAAATTGTTGCGAATACTTAAATATGTAGGGAGTACATTTATTAGGAAACATTCATTTTAATAATCCCAACAATTTTAATCTATTTACTTTTAGTGACCACAACTTCAGTTATTCTAAAATAATCTTAACTAAAGGATGTATTATCTTTCTTCAGTTCCGAAAATCAGAAACATGATAAAAGGGTTAATTTTTTTATTATTATTATTATTTTTTTATAAAAATATACTTCCTCCGTTCTTTTATTATTACACCACTTGCCTTTTTAGAAAGTTTCACAAATATTGCACCATTTTCTTTTTAGGAAAAAAATTATTTGTGTTCACATTACAAATACCCAACATACCCTTGCTTTTTCACACTTACTTTTTTATTTATCAATATGTCACATGGGCAATTTTGTATTTTTACCTTTCTCTCTCATACTTTTTTCAACTACCAAAATATTTGTACCCAACCCTTATGGTGCAATAATAAAAAAAAACGGATGAAGTATATATTTGCCATGTGTCAATACTTGTGATTAGTCCAAAAAAAAAGTACCTGCGGGCCTAGGGCATATCCCATCACCACCCTCCCCAGCCCCAAACCACCAAAAACAACCCCTACCTTCCTTCATCTCAAAAGGCCGCCCTCCTCCCTCCCTGAAACCACCCATATAAATCACTGAATGATATGAGTGGTTTCCGGCCATGTGGGGGAAAGGAGGGAGTTTGTTTTGAGGGTGGGGGTCGTCATTTATGATAGTGTAATTTGTGGTTGGGGAAGAGGTGGGCGGTGAAGGGGGAAGCCATTGTATATGGCTGGTAGCAACCATGTGTTGATACGTGTCCAATTCACCTGTTGTAACAAGTTGATGAGCTAGAAAGAAAACACAAAAAGTTGGGATTATTATTTCACAATAATCGAAAGCTTGATTTACTCAAAGTAAATTGCCTAAAATTGAGATTATTAAAATATTTTTTTCCTAAGAATAAAGGTCCTCGTGCCAATAATATTTAACCAACAATAACTAGTTACAAATTTACAATCTGCATAATCTGATAAAATAATCTATAGCATAATATCTGGTTGGGATACAATATATTTTGCTTGTAATTTGAATAAATTTCCCTTAGCTTTATCTATAGATCAATATTTTGGTTTGATTGGATAAGCATATTAAGGACTTTAATTAGTAGGGTAGAGTGGGAACTTAAATCATGTAACTTTTAGTAAGTGAAATTTTCTTTGTGGAGGTGGATGTAACATGATTTTTTATAAAAGGGGGAATAAACATGTAGTTGTTTTGTATAGAACATATATTTGTTTTGTAAAGAACATATAGCTATTTTACAAAGAACATCCAACTTTATGTTATTTTTGTATATCAAAAGGACATCCATAATATTAATAAAAAACGAGGGTGCCCCAGTTTATATATTTGATAAACTTACTATGTTTATATAGTCCTCGTTGGCGTCTGATTCACCTCTGACTCGTCTGAACTTCGAACATGGTGGAGTTTGGTTGTTGTGTGTACTTCCACATAGGTTAAAATGGGACATATCTCTGGCGCTCCAAAATCACGACGTTAAAGTAACTCCTACTCTGACAAATATGTCATTTAAAGCTTTTTGTTGGTGGTTGATGAGTGTCTGCACCTTAAAAGCCGCCTATGAACAATTTTCCTTGTCTTTGAAGCTGGAAGTGAAGATTGCGGGAGCATTGACATCTGTTTTCGGTCGGCGAGGCATTCTCCGCAATATGCAATACCAAACAACAAAAAATTACTATATTCAGGATTCGAATTACCTGATGAGAGCCGAATTCCGCAATACGCTCTTCAATTCGTGCAGCAGCAAAACCCTTATCAACAATATCGTTCAACCTCAATCAAGCTCCAACTGCAATTTTTATTTTTTATTTTTACTTAAGCTCCTACTGCAATTAAAATTGTCCCAATTTCTTTACTTTGAATACCCTAACGTCGTCTACTTCTCCATTAATTCGTCAAACGGGTTGACTCTATCAATGATAGTGACAGCAGACCACCTCAACTAACATACGTGTATCAAATATTTTAACGTGGCTCTAATTCCTAGTCACCCCTCTGTTCTATTACAATACTACCCCCACATTACTGATGTAAATGACTCAAATACCCCTATATAAACGCCAGTTTCGTTTATCAAATATATAAACTTGTATTTTGCGATAAAAAACATGATAATATTATGTAAGGAACTTTATTTATATTCCCCCCCATAATCTAAAGATAAATTTAAATAAAATTTCACATCAAAAAATGAATATTATGTCACAAATAAAAATACATTACACTGACAATCAAATAAATAACATGGAGATAACGAATGTTATTTAAGAGCGTGTTATTTATAAAATAGTGTCATGTTCATTGTTATTAATATTTTTTTTTGTTTTTTTTTATATATATATATATCTCTTATATTCTTTTATTACGTTCATTACATTTTAACAATATGCTCTTTTTATTTTAAATATATATATATATTTTTTACAATTCTACACCATGTTCCTTTCACTTTAACTAAATGTTCATTACATCTCTATACAATATTTTTTCCTGTTATTATTTTTTTTTTAATTTTTTTTACACGGATGTACTATGTGAATGGTACATCAGGCTCCATGAATCACTTATTAGAAAGTAAGATTTTATATTCTTGATGCATGTAAAAATAAGTCCAGGAGAATAGAGCTTTTAAAATTAAGAATTTGGGCACATTACTATTTTAGGTTTTCAACTATATACCTTTTTTTAACTTATTTTTTTAATCTGAATTTTCTTTATTTTATTTTTAAAATTGAGTTATTTGAATTAATATCAACATTTTTATTAAACCTATGAAAAATAAAGTGAGAAGAATGGTGCTATTACAACTTTATGACAATAAGTAATTCCTCCTTTTTTTTTAGTGCCCTATTTTGAGTTTTGCAATATTTATGTACACCACTTTGAAAAATATTTATGTTTTATATATACAATAATACAAATGTTTAAATATGTTTATAAAATTAATTGTTAGAATCATCTCAATATATATTTTCAAATATCAACTTTTAATAATCTAATCTTAATGTTAATAAAATATACTCCATATTGTTGATCAAAATAGGTGCGATTAAATATAATAATAAAAAAAAAATAGGATTAATAAAATAAATCTTGCACGCCTAGTATTGACCACGACATATCAAAATAAAAGTAAACAAAAATGGTATGTCCTGAGTCCTGAAGTTGTTTTATATTGGGCTTGAAATGACACTTGACCTCTCCATAGTCCATAGTCCATTATAAATTGACGTAATCCGTAACATTTTCCTTAAAAGAATAAGATTAGATTATGAAGTTTGACATTTTTAGTGGATGATTAGCTTAATTTAATCTGTTATGATATCATATCAACCTATCAAAATATAATTATTTTACTCTAAAGTTTGAGTTGATAGTGAAGGTTCAATGAACAATTTATGCTCTAATAATGTTGTTCCCTACAAAATATACATGATTCAAAGAAGGGACCAATAGTAATTTTATTGGACAATGACTATTTGGGAACCACAAATAGCTGTATTCCTGTTACCAAAATTTATGGTGTTTCGCATACTTACGTAGCATAGCCAACATTGGAGAATTTTTTTTTTTTTTCTTTTTTTTTTTTTGAAACCTTAAGGCGTGTTAAAAAAATCTATCTCATATTGTAGTTTTTGCTCTCCCATTCTAAAAAGTTGATTTTGTAAAAGATAAATTATACATTTCTCCATATAAAATTGCATGCAAATAATATATTATTTTCGGATTTAAAATATTGCAAGTATTGCAACGTTTGTGCTTTTGACACTAATTCTATAATGATTTATACACAAGTAAAAATAATTACTTGGGGTTATTGTTATTG